TATCGAGTTACTGGTGTGCAGTCGGTTGTCATGAATGAATTTTCGCGCGCTTGTTTTCTCTTGTCATGTAAGACTACATGAACATTTTTTTGTGATGTAACTCAATAAAAGGACTTCTGTTGTTCCGATGTCTGAATGTTATGTTATAAAACAAATGGTAAACGCCATAGCGTGCACTATTGAGTTATGGATGCACTTGGGAGATTTGCTAAGCACTCAAGACGTTAGAGTCCCACTCGGCTATCGCCTCGTGCGACTCTTACGCTTCTTTCGTGCTTAGCAACCTCCTGCGTGCATCCATAACTCAATAGTGCACGCTATGGCGTTTACCATTTGTTAATTAGTAAGCAACCAGTAGAGGAATCTAAAATCACAATATTATTAGTCAACAACAAGACTTAGTAGAAGAATCACTAACTCCAAACCAATAAATGATAATAAAAACAAAACCTATTAACACAGTTAATAAAAAATTGCCACTACAAATAACTTAATTAAGTTAGTTTCTTAAAAACTTTACTGCTAAAGTCAATGTTATATTGCTTCCTTTAAACAGGTTCCACTGTACATAAATAATGCATTTTTAATTACCTCACAATCAACTATGAAAACTTGCAACTGCCATTTCAATATTACACAAACATTTTTGCTCTATCATAAAAATTCAATCGTGCAATAATATCTTACCCAACAGGAATATCATTGCCAATTCTCCTTCGTTTTACAGTTGACTCCACAGTAACTCCTGCCACTTGAAATGATCGAATGGTTGTAGCACCATACACTTTGTTTATATCCCAAATGGTCACCAATTTCTCTCTCTCGCCTTTCTCAAACCTTGCACGCAACGCTGATGGGACATTTTGCTCTGGTTCCCAACCCTCTGTTCCATTATTCCCAATCCAACGAACCTGTAAAATTAATTGGTAACACGGTCTTATATTATAAGAATAAAAAACCTGTCAAGTAATAAATTTTAATCCATTTGTTACACAGCATGCCTGCCACAATTAGTAATTCTCAACCTTGTAAATCTGCCAAAATGGTTGAAACATATGGACTCTGATTTAAGTTACAGTATTTGTACTCTTAGCAGTGATGAATTATTAACAATACAACGATTTTCAAACACTCGGTTTCATTATTCCAATCAAATGAACCTATAAAATCAATGTTACATAGCCTCTATTACAGAATAAAAAACCTGTCAAGTAATAAATTTTAATTTGTTTCACATCATGCCTACCACAGCAAAGTTACAAACAAGAATTTTGTTTTCACTTGAACTAAAAGACTGTTATTGAAATACCTACGAAGAAATAATTATCAAAACAAAAAAATATTTATACATAGCATCCTATCACTGTGTTCCATTACTTATAATAAAGAACCCACACAACATACCTTAAAAAACTTTTTTTTACGTAGCGTCTTCATATCTAATACTTCAGCAACTTGTCCCCAGTCTGCTGTTTTTACCTTGTTCTTAGCACTTCTTAAAACAGGTCCCAGATTCTTTCCCAACACAGCTTCAAACTCTTCTAAATTTGGCTTCTTCACCTGTAATAAACCAATATTGAAGTAATACTATTACCCCATTTAATTAAATATTGTTTTTCTTTGCCCCACAAAAAGTTAAAATGATTGCCCCAATTTAAAAACCAAAACATACATAGGATTATTCGATATATTGTATTATACCATCACAGAATTACAGACAAAATCTATAACACCCAAATATAAAATTCATACTGATACTCTACTTATTTTAATCAATTTCCTAATAAGTAAAAAACATACCAACAGAATCACAGACAAAATCTGTAACACCCAAATGTCAATTTAATACTTATACTTTGCTTATTTTAATCAATTCCCTAATCATAATTAAAACCATACCAATAATCTGTTATTATGGTTTAAAAAAAGACTTCTGTACATCAATGCCCAATGTCTGTACACATCCCTTGTAGAACACCCATATCTGTGACCTATCATATAATTTGCACATACCATGATAATATTAAGCAATTAAAAACTCTTGAATTGAGTGATGCGATAATCAATCTAGTTTTAGAAATAAATACAATATAAGGTACACACCTTATCCAATTCCTGGTGGTCAACAAGGTGTTCTTCACAAAATCGAGTGCTAAGTTTTGGTGTGTTTGTGCATCCAGTCTTTATCTCATCAGGGAGAGAGTCATACTCAATAAATCCACTTCCTTTTGCCATACAGCATTCTTGATTGTTGTCAAAATTACCATCTAACACGAGGTTCTTCTTGCAACCACTAATGTCACATTGGTGCACTAAACAACAAATCACATTCAATAAAATGTTAAACATTATTTATGTTATAATTGATAAACTTCAAACAAACCCTGAAGGCAGCAATACCTCTGCACAAAATCCTAACGAATAATCCTGAACTGACTTACTCCATTCATAAAAATCCAAACTCGTATTGGTATGATAATTATTGATTATCTTTTAATTGCACCAATATGATACCTTTCAATTTGCATAATATAATTTAAGGCCTACAAATTCGAAGGAAAACTTTATTAAAAGTAAAGGACAAATCCCAGGAATATGAAATACTAACCAGAATTTGTACATATGTAAGATAAAATACAACACATTGTCAAATAATCTAAGAAAAAATTATAACATTAACCTTAAGTTTGATTAAGCATAACTTACTGATCCACTTTTTTATAAATCCATCATGAAACAGGGGGGAAATCACCGCTATCAATTCATTCAAATCTGCTGGAATGGGCATTTCATTCAATGGCAATAATTCATACTCCTGCACCTTGTTCAAACTCCAATACAAAAGCAAACCCTCTTCTGATCTTCTCTGATTCAGTCTGCAGTACTGTCTTAGCTCTTCTTTTAAAACCCCACTGATAATGTGAATATCAAGCATTAAGCTTCTATACCCATTTTCTTCTGCCTTAATCGCCATTCATTACAATATAAATTGAACTAACAATGTTAAAGTAATCACAAATTGTTCCCTGCTTCGTTTATCTGCCATTTTGAATTACGGACAGGTTAGCGCTGTGCACTCTTTCCAAGACTCTTGTACCAAGGCCGTTCCACATAACCCATTTTAGAACGTCCAAACAGACCACTGTTATGGGTTTGTAACTCTCATAATAACTTAGAAAAAAATAACATTTCCTTTACCTGAAACCTTCTTGTTTTTCTTTTCAGCAATCCACCTTGCTTTCTTCGCCACCTAACTTGACATGCCCATCATATCCATTAACTTCATTGTATATGTCAGTCTTTTCCTTGAGATTTCCATTTCACATCAT